GAGTGGGGGCGGGGGGGCCGGAACCCAGGCTTAGAGGGGAGACCCGTTCCCTGGGTTCCCAGACTTGTCTGCTGCGGGAGGACCGCCCCAGGATCCCGACCAAAGGAACCGCTGGCCTCTCCCCGGCTCCGCCCGGCCGGCTCGGAGGAACGGTCCATGGGCTTTGCTCTCTCCGCTGGGACCCACCGGGAGCCGCCGCGGAGTGCGGGAGCCAGGCCGCAGTCGGTGCCTTCAGGCTGGCGGTCCCCAGTCAACCGCCCGGCACAGGGCTCCCTGAGCGGGGCTTCTGGTGGGACCTGCGGCCTGCGGGTGCTTTTGAGGGGGGCTCCTGCTGCATCCCTGGCTGAGCGCCGCTCAGGGAACCCCTCATTGGAGCTGCCCAGAGTCGGGGCCATGGGCACTGGCAGGTGGGCAGTACTGGTCTCCCTGGTGAAGGTGCTGCCCGCTTCCTCTCCCACGCTGGGGTCCCATCCAGGTCTGGACAAATGGGGTCTCCACAGCTCCCGGCGCCCCTCAGAGGTATTCTCAGCCTCTGGAACCCCACCTTCAGGGGCCAGCTGGGCTCAGGGCCTCTGGGACCCCTCAGCCAGCCAGGGTGTCCCACCCAGAGTGGTAGGTCTGACTCCCCAAGACACCCCTTGCCCCCCTTGGGGAGGCTGAAGAGGCAGGGACACCCCAAGCCATGCTTGTCTGCTCCTCCTGGGAGGTCAGTGGTGGAGCCCCCTTCCAAGATAGAATGTCTGCCTGAGTGCCCTCCCAGTCTGTTCTGTGCCAGAGCCTGCCCACTGCACCCCTCCCGGCTGGAGGAGTCCCCCTGGCTGGCTGCCCATCAGCCCTTCTCAGGCCCAGGCCTGGGGGGCACCAGAGGTGGAGCCCCAGGAGGGTGTGTTGGGGCCTGGCCTGCCCCCCTTGTCCGCCGTGGGCCCTGATTCACTATGGGAGCTGCTGTTATTCCGGGTTCCGAGGGGCTGAGTGGTTTGGAAAGGGGGTGCCGTCTGAAGATTGAGGGAGAAAGAGGGGCGCACAGCAGCCCCGCCCCTGGCCGCTTTGGCTCTGCCCCTTTTGTTCTGTGTCTTGTTCCTAAGCTAATTTTTTACAATTAAATGTTGAATTCGAGATCATTGTAAATCACACCCAGTTGTAAGATGTAACAGAGACACCATGAACCCACTGCCCATTTCCTGCAGAAGCTGTATCAGACCAAGCAGGGTGGTCCCACAGGGACCCGGCCTGCCCCGCGGCCCTGGTGGCCTCTCTCAGTGGAGCCCTGCAGGCCGTGTGCAGCCTGGCTGGTCCTTCCTCTGTGAGTGCCACTCCAAGGCATCTGTGTTCTCTCTCGCCCGACTCTGCGGTCACCAGGCTGTGCTGCCCTTGGCAGAGCGACCCTGGGCCCTGAGGTGGGGAGCCTGGTGGTCTCGAGGTCACAGCCCTGGGGAGGGGAGTGCACCTGAGCGCGGACACCCCCATCGTGTGTCGTCCACACACATGAACCCATCGGGTGGTGGCTCCTCAGCCTGCAGGCTGGAGGCCCCTGCTCCCCACGTCACTGGGAGCTCAGTGTTCTTACAGATGGGAAATCAAGGCACAGGGAGGTCAGCACCTTGCCCATGGCTAGTGAGTCTGAGCAGGATTGGAACCCATCATCTGACCACATCCAGAGTTGTGGAGGCCTCCGCTCTCTCATGCCCACCACCCCACCCCACCCAGCACGGCCGCTCCTTAGGGCGATGGTGGAGCCAGAGGGCCTGCCTGGTGGAGGGCCCGTGGCGGGCTGCGGTGGCCAGCGGTACTCCTGGCAGAGCCTGGACCAACGAGGAGGAGCCTCTTGCCCTCGTCACTGGGGGAGACTGAGAAGGGCCAGCGTTCTTCACAAGCTGGGAGGGGTGCCCACTTCCCAGCACAGGTTCCTGTTAGAAAAATGTCTCTGCTCTGACCTTGAGGAGGATGGACAGGATCTGTTTTCCTTGCCGGTAGGAGGAAGACCTCAGCCCATCATGAGGGTCTCTGGGCTTTTTGTGGGGCTAACAGGAGGCCTGGGACCAAGCGTGGGAGCTAGTCTGGAGGACCAAGGAGGGCCCTCCCTGCCTGCCCTGCGCCCGGAGGAATGTGCTGTCCCAGAGGCCCTGCAGCTCTGGGGGCGGCGAGTCTTTAGGAGGATGTGTCCGGGTTCTGAGTGCTTGACCTGAGCATGGTCAGCACGAGTGGGGACCTGGCCTGAGGAGGCCCTGTGGCTGCAGGTCAGAGGCCTGGCTTCTGAGGAGGGGGAGCCATGTATCTGGACTGAGGGAAATGCACCCACAAATCCCAGGCTTGCACTCAGGGGAGCAGGTGGTGGCGGGACTGCAGGCTCTTCCAGGCTCCTCCCTCCCAAGTATGTGTGTGTAAATATTTCTTCTTGCCCTGACTGGTTTGGCTCAGTGGATAGAGCGTCAGCCTATGGACTGAAGGGTCCCAGGTTCAATTCCATTCAAGGGCATGTACCTTGGTTGTGGGCACATCCCCAGTAGGGAGTGTGCAGGAGGCGGCTGATCGATGTTTCTCTCTCGTCAATGTTTCTAACTCTCTATCCCTCTCCCTTCCTCTCTGTAAAAAATCAATAAAATATATATTTTTAAAAATATCTTCTTCTCACACCCCCAACAGGATGAGTCTCAGGTGCCCGGAGCTGCCCCCTGGGCCCTTGCCCCTTCAGAGCACTGTGTGGCTGCCACACCAGTTTGTAACCGTAGAACTGCCCCCCGGGTGCGTGGCGGGGCCTCCAGGCGCAACGCAGAGCAAAGGGTCAGCTGCCTCTCGGGGGCCAGTTGGACAATCGTCACACCTGTTTATTGGGACCATTCACCGCAGAAAGCAAACTTTTGGCCAGTTTTGCTCAAAAGAAGGAGTTCTGCCCTAGCTGTTTTGGCTCAGTGGAGAGAGCCGTTGGCCTGTGGACTGAAGGGCCCCAGGTTTGATTCCAGTCAAGGGCATGTACCTGGGTTGTGGGCTCAGTCCCCAGTGTGGGGCGGGCAGGAGGCAGCTGATTCATGATTCTCTCTCATCAGTGATGTTTCTATCTCTCCTCCCTGCCTCTCTGAAATCAATAAAAATATATTTTAAAAAAGAGAGAGCAAACTTTTGGGTGTACATAGAGTTCAGGGAGAGGAAGGAGGGTTTGCAGCCATCAGAAGAGAGATGTGGCCTCAATAATGACCCTGGGTGGAGGGAGACACACGTGGAGAGAGAGCGGGCCACCTGGCTGGAATCCCACCCACCACAGACCCTGCCCACAGCCCCAGACCCCAGAATCTGACGGCTGGGGCTTGCTTTCCGCACCCAACTCAGAAGCACAGGCCGAGTTGCTTCATCGTGCAGGAGGGCCTGGCCATGCACCAGACTCATCCCCACCCGCTCCGTGCCACTGGGCTCATATCCTTCCCGGGGCAGCATCGCTCCATCCTGCCTGGGCCTGGGGGAGGGACAGAAGGGAGGAGAGGCAGGGCTGCCCCACCTGAGGTCACGCCCAGGACCACACCCCGGCCCCGCCCCCCAGGCTGGTCTGAACACCAGCCTGGAGGCAGGCAGGGGTCTGTGCAAGCCTGCTCCTGCTTGTGGGGTGTGGGGGCCGCTGCGGTGACCTGCTACACCACACCTCGCACCAGCCAGGACGAACGCAGCAAGGCTCCGAGGCTCCCGGCTCCGACACTCGCCTTCCCACCAGCTCTTCCAGTTTCTCCCTTTCCGGGAGTCCCCTTCCCTGCAGGGCCTGGGCGGCGTGGGGACCAGGCTCAGAACACCCTGGAACATGGAGCCCTTCCTCAGGAAGCGGCTGGCCTTCCTGTCCTTCTTCTGGAACAAGATCTGGCCAGCAGGTGCCCAGGACCACAGCATGCCCTGCTTCCCCGCCCCGGGGGCCGCCCCGGAGCCGGAGCCCCCTGCCTCTGTGCTCGGCAGCCCCCCGGCGCCCGCGCAGTTCTTCAGGGCGCTGTGTGACTTCACGGCACGGTATGCGGATGAGCTGAGTGTCAGCCGTGGGGACAGGCTCTACGCCCTCAAGGAGGAGGGCGACTACATCTTTGCCCGTCGGCTCTCGGGCCAGCCCAGTGTGGGGCTTGTGCCCCTCGCCTACGTGGCCAAGGCCACTGCTGAGATGCTCGCAGACCAACCGTGAGTACTGCCTGCTCTGGGAGTCAGGAAGCAGTGGCTGAGGCTGGGAGGCCATCTGGGAGTCTTGGGTCGTTGTGAGGTCACTCATGCGCTCTGCAGCGGGCTCCTCCAGGCCCTGCTGCACAGCAGTGAGCACAGAGCCTGGGGCACAGACAGCAGTGACGGCCTGGCAGGTGGGGCTCGGCGGCGTGTGTGCCTGCTCCTGGCCGGCCACATTGGGACTCTGTCCGGCTGGCTAGCTTCCCTCTTGCTCTCATACAGGGACTCAGTCCTGGAGGCAGCATCTAGGAGGCTCTCATTCTGCAGGCTGGCTAAGTAGTCACTGCTTGGGGGCAGGGGCGAGGGTCTGGGGTGAGACATCATAGC